TTATTGCATTTTCTGCTATTTAAATTCTCTTGTTTACTTAGTTCCAATATTACATTGTGATCTCTGTTCCCTTATTATATAGTGAGGGCAGAATCTGTCTTTTTGGCTGTTGTATCCCCAGCATCTAAAACAATGTCTGACATATTACAGGTGCTCAACACGTTTTAGTTGAATGCATGAATAAGTGAGTGAATGATAAAGAAATGTATAACATAGGGTGAGCAAGTTGGTCTTTTCTTGTTTTGTTGAAGAACAGTGTAACAACATGATAGTAAACTAGGTTAGGGGATATTTACTTATAATTCCAATATTTAAATAATTTTCATTTTAGTTTTTTCTATGCATGTATGTTTGCATGGTTGTACTCTATTTAAATGTTTTTGGTATTTTGTTTTTGTTTAGTTAATATTGTCAGACATTTTCCCTAGTTCTCCTAGTAAATACAGTTATTTTAATGGCTACATAATATCACATTGAGTTGATATTCCATCATTTGCTTAATCATTTTTCTAATATGTTAAGAAATTTGTTTCTGAGTTTTGCTATTATAAATAACACTGCAAGGAATAGCTTAATGAATATAGATAACATTTTTCTCCATTGAACAGAATATATTATAAACATAAAATGACTATATTAAAGGATATTTGTTCTGGTATTTTATGGCATTTAAAATATCTACATCTCATAAATTGTGAAAGAATGTGTATGACTTTGTTTTGGGGTTTATTCTAAGTTAAAATACTTTTCATAATTCATGTAAAAATTGTATGATGCAGACAAATAATAAATTATATTTTTAAAGCTTCAGCTTATTATTTTCACAAATAAGTTTGTAAGCACCCCATATAGCCAGATGCCTTTAGACTCAAAGTAATCTGAGTACAGAGATGTATAAATTCTATGAATAAATAAATTATTATTTTATTAAAATTACCACCTTTAGTAAATAGGGCACCCTAAAACAAATAAAAGCAAAAGCTAAAGTGGTTTTGTAAGTGACATAATAGAATAGATATTTGGGATTATAAAATGACATTTGAGAGAAATCACAAATTTTCATGATTGGTTTTAATATTATTTGCAATTTGCTTCACTTTTTTTCTTAAAGCTGGAAGAAATTTTTTAGGGCGAAATAATTTGAGTACCTTTGAGAACTAATTTGGAAATGTCTATTAAAAGTATTCTTTAACTTTCATTTCTACATGTGGAGAGTTTACCTATTTATGCATATAAGAGGTTACACAAATAAAATATATCCTGAGAATTTTCTCTTTGGATCTTTTTTGAGCTTTTTGAATTATTTGAAGTCAAGTTTTTTTTTTTTTTAAGGTGTGGATTAATCATGACTTCATTTGCATAGATTGTTAAGTTCTGGGGAAAACAAAATCTAGTTTATTATGCATTTATATTCCCTTGCAGCATCTTCTATATAATTTACTTAAAGAAAGGATTAAGTTCTACTCTTTAGCTATATATGCTATCCTCTGGATAACATAATGCAAAAATAGATTTTAAAAATGACCTTTTTGACCTAAGCATCTTGCTAAACCTACACTTAGAGACGGCTCCTTCACTTTTCCAAAACAAAGAGGCTTTGCTTTTCTTTGCCATATAAAAACTCTTATTAGCATAAGCTATATGTATTTCATTTATCCAGTCAACACATTCACAGCTTACCCTTCTCATATCTTCTGTATGTTTTCTTACTTTTATTTATTCTAATAATTTAATCTGATAACAGAATATTCACTTAATTCATCAAAAAAAGATTTCTTGAGTGCCTACTATATACAAGCTACTTTTCCAGGTACTAGATATATAGTAGCGACTAGATGAAAATTTTAAAAACTCCTTCCTCATAGAACTTAGGTCTAGTAAACAAGATAAATAAATAATTGTAGGTTAGATAGAGAGTGTTAAGTGCTAAGAAGAAGAAACAAAGAAGAGGGTATGTGAAACGTGGGGGCTATTAAAACTTTGGATGGGTTGACCAAGGGAGACTTCACTGTAAAGGAAATTTTTGAAAAAGATTTGAAGTAAGGAAGTGAGCCATTCAGCCACCAGGAGAAGAGAGCAGCCAGGAGAGCAGTAAGACAGTGTGGGTGGGAGTGTCGGGTCACAGAGTTATACAGGGAAAGAAGTCGGAGAGCTGATAGAGAGCGGGATTAGGTAACAAATGTTTGTTTGGATTACTTAATTATCTTTCTTTATTCTGTAATTTTTCTGAGATTTATGTTTCTGTTCTTTCTAGCTCTGTACAGAATTACTTGCTCTTATAAATTTAATAAGCGGTTTAAAAAATCTGCCATTGTTAACTATTTTTGAGTGATAATAAGTATCAATTAATTAGTCAAAGATTTGTGTTTGTGGGAAAACACATGATCTCGTTTTTCTACTTGCCATTTAATTCCATGATTTTTTTTTAATGTAATATCATTGCTTTTTGGGCTGCGGACGTTGATCACTATTCTGATAAATGTGATTACATTTCAGTTGCCTAGTACTGCTTTATGTAATATTCTCCCTGTCATTTTCTAGTTTTTCTTGCAAAATCCTAAATTTCTGCCACTGAAGCACCATTTTAGGTTAATAGCTTTCTTCGGCATCTTTTAAAAAATTGACCCAATTAAAAAAAAAAAAAAGAACAGACCTAAACTCAAGAGTAATTACTTTCCTAGGATTTCTTCCAGACTTTTATTTTCTCTGGCTCTCTATTCAAAGTAAGTTATTTGCTTTTATAAAATGGCCAGGAGTCTACACAAGTAAATTAAACTTAATTGTGGGATGTCAGAGGATATTTAACTCAAATGGACTCAAATGAATTGAAGAGTTAGAGTTAGTATTTATAGTATGTTAGAATAGACATTTGAAGTTAAAAGATTTTACTGGTTAACTTCCCCTACTGAATAGTTGTGTAGTTCTTCCTGAACTTCAGTTTCCTTGTCTGTAAATGGGAATCAAATTGCCTACTTCAGAGGCTCACTAATAGATTGTTTTGAGATTATAATTGAATAATATATGTGGACACTCTCAAGAAAGTGACTTAGGGCAATTCAATGTAAGTATTGTTCTGTATTCTATGAGGCCACCTATGCTTAGTTTTAAAATTTTGTTAAATTTTAATATTCATTGCCTTTTTTATGTCTGGATAATTTCCGAAGTTTGATTTTTTTTTTTTTTTTGGACTGAAGATCCCTTCAGTAGATCTTTTGTGAAACAGCTTCTACAATGTAAATAAACAAGTCTTGGCCTTCACAGTGCCATGGTGATTTTATCTCAGTTGCAGTGACCTCTGGCATGTACCTCAATAAGAATTTATTTGCCCTCACTTGGATGACAGTTGTCAGCAATTGGAAACAGGCTTGGTTGGAGCTTTTTAGTTGCATTAAACCTTTATTAGAGAGCACCCAGAAGCAGCAGTGCACTACTACCTCACCAACATTCTGCAGCCTATCTAGGAAATAAAAACTTTAGAGAACCTTTAGTCAAAAGCCTATGAAGCACTAATTAAGGGGAAATAATTATACCAGCATGTTGGCTCAGCAGTGCGAGGCACCGTGAAGCTTTGAGGAGGGGCTCCCAGAAGTGCGTATTGCTGCTGAGTATGGAGTATCCAAGGCACCCGTAACAACTTTTGTCTTAAGTTTTTAAAATTGGAAAATCAGAATAGAGCAGTGGTTCCCAGACTTTGTTACACATTAGTCACCTGGGGCTTTTACAAATCTTATGCCCAGGTAATATCTTACACTAATTATAAATTAGAATGTTTGGGGGTTGGAGCCAGGCATCAGTAGTTTTTAAAGATGTACAGATGATACCAATGTGCAGCTAACTTAGGGAACCACAGGAATATGTGGCTCTGGCCTTCGTTCTTTTACTACCTATTACTGTTTCTCAGCCTTTAGCATCATTAGTGGGAGTCTGATAATCCTATCACTAAAAATATTTGAAAATAGTAGGTGATGTCCTGTAAGCAGGTTTGTGGTCTACAGTTTTTAAAAAGTATATGCTATTTTACGTGGTCTTATGTTGCTTTGAACTTTGTTTCACTACTGTCACCTTCTAGATATACTTATGTTACTTTTTCCCATTTACATGAATAACTCCTTGACAACTTTAAATAACATTATGCCTTTGTTATTTAAGACCAGAATAAAATAATGTCTACAGGTATTAACTAGTTAGGAGTTTTGTTTCTTTGTTTCATTTATAATGGCTGTTTTCAGATAAAGGGCTGACAGCCAATTTGTTTTTCCAAATCCATTTTTATTTTTCTCCAGTCTAGTAATGAACTAAATTTATGAAATTGATATGGGTCTGAATAAATCAACTGCTTAACTATATCACAGCCACATTAATATTTACTATTAATAATAGATGATATATATCTGAGACAAAAACTATACCTGTGGCATTACTAACCATGATATCGTATGTGAATAAGCATTTTCCCAAATATCATGGTTTATTAAGTCAGTCTCAATGTAGCCTAGTAAAAAAACTAGAATTTTAAGAGTACAAAGGGGAACTTCTATGTGGCTTTGTTCATAATGTTGACAAAAGCTAAAGTTTTGGCTGTAGATCCTTGAACATTTGCCTAAGACTTGACATAAATTCAGGTGGTCACCATATTATCTTAAAAACACTAGAAAATTACCCAAAGAACACAAAAAGAACAATTTAAAAACAAATTTTATTTTGATTTATTAGAAAATTTATCTTTCATATTTCATGTGAAATGTGTGTGTGAAAAAAATGCAGAACGTGAATTGATGCTCTGTGAATTTTTTGTTTGTCATTTAAAATTAAAGAATATGACCCTATTGTCTCTGGTGCTATCAGAGTATTATAAATTATGGAAATTACTACAGTGCAAATATTTGGCTTAATTCATAACATTTAGTCATCCAGTTTTTGTTTTGAGTCTTTTGCTTTTCTCATTTCACATTTTTGTTTTGTTTTCATCCACCATTTTGTCTTATCATCTTCAATTCTAGAGCAACCTGACAACAATAATGATACTACTGAATTGGGCATCCTTGTCATTCCTGAGATTAGTGTCACAAATGTGGCCGGAGAGAGAACCGGGAATGGGGAAAAAGGCAGAACACTAGGAGAAATTGATGCTCAGCATATACAGGGTGTGCAGGAAACAGCCACAGATCCTAGAACTGAGAGCAAAGGCTTGCCAGAGATCAGGAGGCAAAAATCTGTAAGAAAAATGATGGAGGATGGAATAAACTCACCTGGCAGAGTGCAGTTTTAGCAGAGCACTTTATAGCTGCACTCCAAGGTATCTTAAGGCAAAGGGCCACTGATGCATGTTAAGCAGCAGTTGCACAGTCACAAAAATTTTGCATGTAATCTAATCCAAATGCATGAATTATGCACCACATTTCTCAATGACTCTTAATGCTCTTTGGAATGATTATACCTATATTGTCTTTAGTAAATTGTTATGAAAACTGAGGCAGAAAATTCCTTCTAAAATAGTTTTCTGCTTATGTTTGGAGTTCTAAAATTACTTTTTCAGCTTTGTCTTTTTGCCATCTTTGATATGAAGGGTAATGTGTATAGAATTTTGTATTTGAGCTTGTGATATTTATAGTCTAGATTTTTGAATTTGATAAAATAATCTACAGTATAGAGTGCAACCTTCTAAAAAAGTCTTTAAAGTATTCTAATACGAATTTTTTAAAAGTTCCTTGGTAAAAGCTTTGATTTTATACTGCTTTGCTACTGAAGGAGAGTTCACCCCTAGTTTTACTGTGTGATAATATTTCTAATTGTTTCTTATCTTTTGCATGAATAGGAGAATTCTTTCTAAAAACATAATGGGGTATGGTTTATGGCATGCTTATTGTTTAATACACTATAAATTACCGTCATTTAATTACAATGAACTATTTTTCACGTTTTTATAATGTTTTGATTTATCCTTTGATTTTCTATAATCTGTTGCTTTATAAAATTATGCTAAAGCTTAATTTATTTAAAGTATAACTGATTTGGTGTTAATCATTTAAAAAGATTGCTTAAAATATTTAATGTTAATTAATCTTTGTCATTTCTTTGTTTAGGAAATACAGAATTAACAGGTCAAGAAGAACTGATGGAGATATCTGAAGTTGACGAGGGATTTTATTCCAGGGCTGCGTCTAGTACCAGCCAGTCGGGTTTATCAAACAGTAGTCACAATTGTAGTAACAAGACAAGTATAGGAAAGAACCAGAGACGGTCAGGAGGAAGCAAAACTGGAGGAAAAGAAAAAGAAACTACAGGGGAATCTTGCAAAGATCACTTTGCTCGAAAACAAACTCAGAGAGCCCAAAGTGAGAATCTTGAGCTTCTCTCTTTGAAAAGACTTACTTTAACAACCAGCCAATCCCTACCTAAGCCTAGTAGCCATGGTTTGGCTAAGACTGCAGCGACTGTATTTAGTAAATCCTTTGAACAAGTCAGTGGTGTCACAGTCCCACATAACCCGTCATCTGTCGTTGGTTGTGGGGCTGGGACAGATGCCAATAGGTTTTCAGCTTGTAGTCTCCAAGAAGAAAAGCTTATTTATGTTTCAGAAAGAACTGAACTTCCAATGAAGCATCAATCAGGTCAGCAGAGACCTCCTAGTATTAGCATTACTCTGTCCACAGATTAATTAGTAACGTATTTTTCTCCCATAACCCAGTGAACCCAGAAATACAACTTTGCTTCTTTGTGAAAGTACCCTGGGTCTTTCATCCGTGTTCCTGACAGGAGCCCTGATGTCTTAAATTCTGAAGGCTCCCCTGACTTTATGAAGGGAAGATTGTCTAGGTTGCAGTAAGTTGAAATATGGTTTTTTTTATTTCTTGATTAAGATTTTTTCCCCTTGGTTTGAGTCTTTTTTTTTCCCCCTTCTTATTTGTTATTGTTGCCCTAAGATTATCAGTGACAATAAATTTTGACAGATTGTCTGATCAAGTTGGTTATGTCTCATGTGAGGTTATAAGGTAGTTTTTCTTGTTTTGGTTTGGGTTTTTAATAGCTCCTATTTTGGTGGCTGTGTGTTTGACCTTCAGAGTCAAAGGGAGTCTCCATGTATGGGAACTGTTTTATAGAGGATGGGGCAGAGGCACAACTCCAGGAATTCTTCAGCTCCTGGTCAGGAAGCCAATCTGAAAAACAGGCATGTGGAAACACAAAAATGATGTGTATGAAAAGCACCTGATGAAAATATTTGTAAGCAGATCATCTTTATGATTAGAACAATTTGCTCAAAGCACTGGAAAATGCCTGGTAACCCAGTACCTAGAATATTATATGATTCCAGGGGATGGGTAGAGGCATTTCTGTTGTTATCTCTGAAACATTTTTATATCAAAAATCAGATTGCTGGTAGGTGTGTTGTTTTGAAGTGTTTGGACTTAGCAGGTGAAGATCCCTTTCAATTATTAAGGTATAATAGGCCATAAAGCTGATTTACCCTACTGCTGGACTTTAGAAATCCTAGTTAGTTTGGACTCCTGTAATTCAGAGCATACGTCATTGGAAGACTTCCTGGAAATCAGTGTAAATCTTGCAACACAGCTCTCAAGATACCACTGTGTAATATGGAATTGTTTGTATGCAAATGCATTTTTCATCTATAAAATGTCATGAAAGAAAATAAAGATAGTAAAATATGGACAAAGGACATTTATATATTAACTAATTTAGAGTTGTTTATGTTTGTGTTCTTAAATTTAAAATATGAAAAAAAAGAAATGTCTTTCTTGTTTGTGAACAGACCTATTTAAAATATCTTAGTATGATATCAAAAGAATAATCAATTTAGTTACCTCCCAACTAAAAATTAAAAATAAAAAAGATGATATGGCAGAAGTTGAATCAAACTTGTATGTATCTGTATGTGACCTCTAGATGGAAATAAAAGTTTGGTGTTTGCTAGCAGTGGTCCTTTTGGCTATCGTTGGGGTTCCCTTGTAAAGTAAGTGTACTTAAGTCATCATTCAGAGAGAGAGCAGGGCTGAGGCTGAGTCAGTTGACTGTTGAGGAAGTCCTAAGGAGCTGTCCGGTTGGCTCTTTCACTGTGAGTACACAGCGGTTTCCTTCTTCATAGTCCCTCTCTGTGGTCACCAAGAGAGCATGCTAGTGTTTTCCTCTTGTACCTGCTTATGCAGAGCTCAGATATGTGAAAAATTTGTACGCTTTGAAGGCCGCCAAAGCATTTATACTCTGAACATAGTTTTGACCGCAATTGCTTTGGCTACCAGTTTAAACTGAATTCTTCAAAAAGCATGAACTGGTTTTCATTCATTAGCCCTGATTACAATGTGGTTTTTGACATAAATGAATTTGATTTTTTTTTTTTTAAGCTCCAGTAACAGAATGGAATAAGATCTGTTGCCATAAATTGTAGTTAAGAACTGTAAGGCAATCAGGCAGTGAAACTTGATATTGTATTAACTTAATGGGAACCCTGTATACAGTTTAAAATATTTGTAAAATGTCACTGTGAATTTACAGATGTCTTTTTGTCATTTTTTACCAATGAATTTCCCCTGTGCATAGTTATTAATAGTGTGGGTATTATTAAAAACTAATTTGTAAGATAGGCATTTTAAGCAAGTTGAGGTGCTTAGGAAACATTGTAGAATAAGTTTGAGGAAATGTTAGCTGACACAGCTGAGAGATCAGATTTTCATGTTCTACCACTGTAATGGAACCTCATTTGGGTATTCTTCTAGACCTTTGCTAGCTGTGTGGTCTGAGGACCAGTAAGTAGGATCGGCATTATCTGGTATCTTGTTAAAAATGCAGAATTTCAGTGCCACTCTAGGTCTACTAAATTAGAATTTGCATTCTTAACAAGGTTCCCAAGTGATTGTTATGAGAAGAAAGTATCAGAGTGCAAACAGATTACTTGTCTGATATGTAGAACTACCAGTAGTCTCACAGCTCTAGATCAAATGTGTCAGACACTAGGTCATTATAATCTTCATTGGTTTTGACAGCTAATTAATTAGTTTAATAATATTGACATATGGCTTCTTAAGTATTTGAATTCTAAATTGCTAATGATCCTTATTTTTGCAATAAAAAATGTAACAGTTTATATTTTTCTTGTTAACTATAAATGGAATCAGAGCTGCAAATACCTGAAATTTTAAGTATGAAAAGGGGTGCCACCCTTTTATATACTGCACAACAAATTTGCATTTGTATATTCTTTTAAAAAAATCTCTGAAGGCTTACTCAGTGAAATGGTTCTGATTTTTTGCTTCAAATGATTTGCACTAATTGATTTTCTGGAGAGTGGAGTTACGTTAACAAAATTCTTTTATAGTTCCTTTGATACTATTTCAAATAAGGATTACACATTGAAAGTTTTTATAGAAATTATGAAAATTGGATAATCTTAACTATGGTAACAATGACTATTATCCATACTACTTTCTCCCCACTCAACTTTCAAATTTTAAAGTTGGGGTAGCTTTTGTAGGCCACTTTCTTATAAAGATGCTGATGGTCACAGACCTCCTAAGTATCCAGAATAATATTTTTATCATGAGAAGGATTCCACACACAATTGGGGTCTTGCACCCCATATTTCAGAGGATCTAAACAGAAATTGTGGCTCCATTGCACATTTTAAATCTCTATAGATTCTTGAAATCACCCAACCTCTCACTTTTGAAAACCCAACGGCCTGGAGTATTCTGGTGGCATTGGAGCCAGCACTAGCTTTTTGGAATCCAAGTGGGGAGAGAAACAAAGTAGACTTTTCAAGGGACTGTCCCAGAGTACCCAGGGCAAATGTCTTCCCTTCCCTTCCTGAAGCCACAGGAAAGCACCCTGGAGTCCTTTGTATACCACTATGGAAATTTTTAAGGCAAGCTCTCTAGACTTGAAGAGTTGGAATTCTCAGCATCTAAATGATGACTGAAGTTTGTTTTGAAAAAGCAATATTTCTTTCTTTTTTTTTTTTTTTTTTTTTTTTGAGATGGAGTCTCGCTCTGTCACCCGGGCTGGAGTGCAGTGGCCGGATCTCAGCTCACTGCAAGCTCCGCCTCCCGGGTTCACGCCATTCTCCTGCCTCAGCCTCCCGAGTAGCTGGGACTACAGGCGCCCGCCACCTCGCCCGGCTAGCTTTTTTTGTATTTTTTAGTAGAGACGGGGTTTCACCGTGTTAGCCAGGATGGTCTCAATCTCCTGACCTTGTGATCCGCCCGTCTCAGCCTCCCAAAGTGCTGGGATTACAGGCTTGAGCCACCGCGCCCGGCTTGAAAAAGCAATATTTCATTGCCCTTTTCAACTGTGAAGCAACTGCTGAGCAAATATTACTCATTTTTTAAAAAAAAGTTGAATTAAAGGGAAATATATTTTTAAAACCAAAATAGATCAAAATGATCCCAGTTTTAAGGGATTTTGCCTATTTTGGAAGAATAAAACTAAAATGTTAAAACTGTTGAATTATGGAGAACAGATGTAGTCTGAGACATAATTTTAAACAAATATTTAAGGCAGTTAACATTTGCGTCTAGGCACAATAAATCTATATTAAAGGGAAGCACATCAAGGAAATATATATATGTTGAATAATGTAACTGAAAAATATTTTTTAAAAACCACTTAAAAGGAAAAATAATTTGATGGGTACTTTAAGCATTGTAGATATAAATTAATGTATAATAGTGTCTTCCCAGTCTTTGTATGAAAAATTAAAACTCTCTAGTCCTTTAATGAGCATGAATTCATACTTCTAGATTTGTTGCTTAATAAAATTATACTCAGTACTTTGACTTATTCAGATTTATGTTTACTATTGTTAAATTCTTCATCAGAGAGCGTAAATATATTGTTTTCTATACTTTGTAACTTGTGCATATCTAAAGAAACTAACAGTGAACATTTTGGGAGATGTTTTTGTGTTTTTTTTATAGTAGAGTTTTAGAGTACCTGTGTCTTAATAGGAAGTTTTTACCATAAACCCAAGATTTTATTTCACGTATTGTTGCTTTCTCTTATATGGAGCTTATTGTGTACCTCTTACCTTTATTTCTAATCATTTGGTGATACTAATCTTTTCATAGTAAATATATTTGTTTCTAATTGTATTCCTAGAGTTTACATTCCTAAAGAATAAACTCTGACTTTGGATATTTTTATGTGTTCCCTCCCTTCTTAAGGCTATGGAAATAAACTGGAGTTTAGTTTTTTGAATTTTTGTATATTTGCGTAAATGTTCTCCATATGCAGTACTTTATACCACAAGTGTTGCCTCTTGTTTTATTGAAATAAAAACTGAAAAAAATATTTTTTCCAGATCAGTTTACTCATTTAAAAAATTGTTATAAAAATTTGCAGAAGTTATGATATGAAGGAAGAGAGTAAAGGAGGAAGACTTAGGTGAGTTGAGCCATTGAGAGCTTTTGGGGGTAAGTGATAAGACAATGACCTCATTCCTGGCTTTGTGCTTTATATGTCATAGGGCTGAGGAGTATGACAGGTCCACTCGTATTCATCCAAAGATGAAGATGAGCTCTATGGGCCATGCACCAGTGGCGGATTATTTGTCATATCAGAAGCACAGGCAAATTTAGGTAACATCACTTTGTCCTTCTAACTTTAGAATCTTTATTGCCAGGTGTGGTGAGTAGTAGTCCCGACTACTCTGGAGGTTCACTTGAGCCCGGGAATTTGAGACCAGCCCGGGCAATATAACGAGATTTTATCTCTTGAAAAAAAAAAAGAAAAAGAAGAAGAAGAAAGAGTCTATATCTTTGAGTACAGAGATCATATGCCCCTAGTACCTAGATAGGACTTTGTGCATGGTAGGTATCTAGACATTTAGTGAATACATGAGTTAGGTTGATGTTAGCTTTGGAAAAGAATCAAGGATAAAGTCTTCAGTGTTTTCTTTAACAGTACAATTTTAGAATTTTGTTTGTTGGCTTTAGGAAATCTCAGTGGCATTACATGAATTGCATTATAGCATGCACTTAGAAAAAAGAACCTATGGCTGGGCGCGTTGGTTCACACCTATAATCCCAGCACTTTGGAAGGCTGAGGTGGGTGGATCACCTGAAGTCGGGAGTTCAAGACCAATCCGGCCAACATGGCGAAACCCCATCTCTACTAAAAATACAAAAATTAGCCGGGTGTGGTGGCGGGCACCTGTAGTCCCAGCTACTCAGGAGGCTGAGGCAGGAGAATTGCTTGAATCTGGGAGGCAGAGGCTGCAGTGAGCTGAGATCACGCCACTGTACTCCAGCCTGGGCAACAGAGTGAGACTCTATCTCAAAAAAACAAGCAAACAACAACAAAAAAAAACAAAACGGAAAAAAGAACCTATTAGACCCTTGAAAAAATTCCTGGCTTGTAGTTGATTATATGTTTGGTTAATTCCATTTCATCTAAGGAACTAAGTAATTTAGGAAATGTGTTCTTAACTACTCTTAGAAGGGTATTTGTAGAGAACCAGAGTGGTGATTTTGTAAGCAGTATTTTGTCCTATGCAATATGCACTCTTCCAGTAACTCCAGTAGTCCACATAGTTGACTCACCTCCTACAACCTTTGTTAATATCAAGATAACTGTTTTATAATTGTAAAGAAAGATTTTTTACAAGCAATTGTAGTTATTTTATTATTTTCTTTATATTATTGTGATAGTAGTGACAGCTAATATGTGTAATTAAAATGATCATCTTATCCTCAAAATCATCCTATAAAGTGCATAGAATCCCCATTTTACAGAAGAGGAAACTGAAGCTCTCGATAGGGTAGAGGACTTGGCTAAGGTCACCTAGCTGCTGAGTGGCAAAACTAGGCCTTGAACACAGATCTTAGGACTCTCACTTTTATATCGCTTGGTAAAAGAAGGTACTAATTAAATCCTACCTAATGGAGATGTATTTAAAATTCACTCACCCCATCTGTCTTATAGGTGATAGTTGTAAGGTAAGATAAAATCAAAGTGTGCTAAAACTAAATCATAATACATTTAACAGAATTAGAGATAATTGTGTTTTAGTGGTCAAACAATGCTGGTTAGTGAAAGCATGGTAAAATGCAAATTAAAATAAGATTTCTTTCTTTTTTTTCCTGTCAGATTGATAAAGATGAAGAAGATTGATTCTAGTATTGACATTGGTATGGGGAAATCATTAGTCACTGAGATGATTAGCAGGACTGTAAATTGGTACAAATGAATTGGTGGGCAGTTCAACAGGATCTATCAGACTTTAAAGTGCACCTCATACCCTCTGAAACAGCAATCTTACTACTCTTCTATATTTCATTCTCTGTATTCTACTGAAAATGTAGCACAAATACATAAACATAAGCATGCAAGGTATTCATTGCAGCATTGCTTGTAATAGCAAAAACAAGCCAGCAAATCTAAATGTCTATTATTAGAGGAATAGATAAATTATGGTACATACATATAGTGGAATATGATGTAGCCATTAAAAAGAATGCAGATCTGTATGTGATCATTTAGACTGATTATATATTGTA